ATATATATATGTATATATATATATATATATATATATATACATATATATACATCTATATATATATATACATATATATACAAATCATACATTTTATAACAGATGTTGAAATTAATTTAGAATAATACGAAATATCCGAGAATTTTAGAGGAAGGAGTTCAATCTTACACTTGTGAAAGTTTCAAATGATAAATTCACGATTCCTCCAGCCGTGATACTAAGTTGTTTTTGAGATGCCATAAGTACGAATAACGTATTTTTATTCTGACTGGGTGACATGTTGTACCATAAAGAATCATATACCGCATCGGCGATTGATTTACTCTAGTAGCAGTGTAATAAACAGATTTGATATCAAATCATATCTCACTTTAATGGAAGAATTAGGTATTGGGTTTTTATTTTATAAGAAAAATAATAAAATATTTGTAATGAAATGAGAAAAATTGTATAATATATTTCATGCATTTTTGTAGACAGCTATAGCGAACCTTGAATAAAATATGTAAATAAATATTTAAATAAATATTCAATAAAATCCAATCTTTTTGATCGAATATTTTTACAAATAAATCAAAATATTATTTATTATTATAAATTAAATTATACAAAAAAATAAATTAACTTAATAATTGTTTAATATTTGCTAACCTTAAAACCAAGATATTCTCCAGCGCAGCAAAAGATAAATATTTCCAAAATTACGCCAATATAAGCAAATACGGTACTCACTACGCCGACGCCATCTCCGTTATGAACAGACTATTTCATTAAACGATCAAAGAGCTTTATGAATTATTCGAGCACCACGCATTTTGCACTGCAATACTTACTATTATAATGACAAATCCTAGAAAGCAGATTACTGCGGTATTCCAAAATAAAATCATGAAAGCTAAGAAAGAGAAAAGTTTATTGACTTTCTCGAAAAATATAATAATTTGATGATGCCTCTCGATTAATATTCTTATTGTTTTCCCAGATGATCCATAATATGATATTTTCTCAGAAAATGTTTGGAACTCGTGACATATGATATCGATTTGTCCGCTTACATGAAGTACCTAAAATATACTTAAATATCTGCAAAAACTTTAATGCTTAAAAAAAGTAATTGCTTTACGAAGGATATATAGATTAAATAGAAAAACTGGAAAAAGCGAGACGTAATATTCTTATATTGTGCACATGTGTTCTATAATGTGTTCTATAATAGATTATTAGATTATTAGATTATAAAAAAGCTATTTTGTCAAATAATCAGTATATTTTTGTATTTCCTTATCTAGTTTTAGGGGAAGAGAGAATTTATACAAAAATAAATTTCGCAAACCACTTTGAATTAAATGAATAAAAGTACATTACATTTCTTGTATCGCTTTTTTCAAGTTATAGCTAACGTGCTGCAGAATTTACACGAGACATACCAAAGTAATCAACAGAACGTTCACAACGGTAGCCGAGTATACTTGAAATGTTGTTTGCACAATCAAGATAACAATGAGCAACTCAAAAATCGGCGATTGCTCAGCGTCAAAGGGAAGCAGTATTTTCATGGGTAACGGTCGTAAGGTATCATTATCACTTTCAGTGTGATACATAATCTCAAACACAGTATTGCCGATGGCATAGCACGATCCTGCCAATACGTTGAAACCGAATAAAGTTTTCGAGCAAAACTGCGACATACTTGCTTTCGTCATCATCAAATATAAATGTTGATCGATGTTCGCGCACTCTCGCCAATCATTGTTGATAGTGGCCAGCATTTCGTGAATTATCCTGCATGTCATTTTAATCGAATGAACACACTTTGTGCGGTGGTATTATCACCTCTATGTGAAATAACACTCCGTCGCATTAATTGATATTTAGATTTTATATTTATTAAATCACGTTGTGTTTTAATGAAGATCAGGGGGAGCGAATAGTATACATTAATATACTCAACTCCTTCCCATCTCTCTAATATTGATATTAATCGGAAAAGCTCAAAATCGCGTAGTCTGGTATGGTATCTTACCGATGATTAGTCCAAATTTTTATCCACTTGACGATTCCCATACCGTAATATATAACTCTCAACAAACTATCCACGAAATTTTGCAATTCGTCGTGCTTGCAATGCGCGAATAGGTACAGATACTGAAAATATTGCATGATTAGCATGCTCAACAACAATAATAGTTGTCGAAAAATTGCACATGACACGTTCGGCCACACGCCGAAGAGTTGAAGTCCGATTTTTAGCGAAGGACTGATCGTACTCGTGAATATCATCTGTCAACTCCGAGAACAGGCGAGGAAACGAAAGTCGAAACGTACTCAGCACTCTTGTACGACTGTACGGTAAATTGAAAAAGCACTGACTGCTCCTCCAAGTGCATCCCCATGTGCTACGTCCTCACTCCGGTGGCCATCGACCAATCGTTATTGTACGTTGAGTAATATAACAGTATGTCGAGATATAGTTCATTATCGGTATCGATGTCCTGTAATTCCGTGGAGAGGTTTGAATAATGCGATCTGACCGTGTAACGAAAAAAACTTAAACGTATGTCTCTCTTCGAGAGATAGTTAGTTTCTTTCTACGAATTTTCCTCAACCACAATTTGATACCGACAATAAAAAGCAAGTGAACCTTGCGTTTTCTACGTGCACCGAAGAATATTTAACGAACGTTGCTTCGGTTGAATGGTCGTAATTCCTGCATTAATTATTCTAACAGAACTGAATTAGTCGCGTGGTCACGATTCTTGAAAGAAACAAGCGAAGGGAGAACATCGAATTTTACGGGAACTGAGGGCGAATATCGAATACTGCTGAGTAATTTTCATAGGTGCTACATTGAAAAGCGTTCTCGAGAGTGCACATTAGATATTGTATCAAAAGTAAAAAAATTCGGGTCGATTAAATGTACCTAGAAGATTAGCACAGTTAGAAGCAGGTAGTGTAAAATAATGTAAAGATATTTCTTAATTTATATAAAGATATACAACATTTCCGGAGAATGTTCAATAGTAGTTAACTTGGTTAACAATAGTAGTTAACAATGTGAATTTAATATTTCAGCTATTATTATTTCAGATAAAATATTTTATCGTACAATATAACAACGAAGCAACAAAGAAATATTTCTCATTTTGTATTAAAAGTGGCTCTTCATTTTGTAACTTATGTATCCTCATTTACACCTTGAACCTGCATCAAAATTTGTTATTCAACGATTATACAATATTATTCATAACATTTTCCAAGTTTTTATTTCCTACTAATCACAACACTCAATATAATGACCTCTGGCGTGCTATAATTTTGATTGATATCAGTACATCGCATTTAGGACAGAAATATATGACGCCGACGCTTTCATGATCTGAAATAAAATGAAATGATTTATTCTTTGCAAAACTATACAAATATGTATATACGCAAACGATACATTGTGTAATAGGCGCACAAATTTATTAAGAAAAATACGCAGTTAAGAAAAATACGCATATCGAGAATTTAAAAAAAAAGAGTTCAAACTTACACTTGTGAAAGTTTCTAATGATAAATTTACAATTCCTCCAGCCGTGATATTAAGTGGTTTTTGAGATGTCATAATTACAAATAACAAACTTTTACATTGACTGGGCGGCATGTTGTACCATAAAGAACCGTATACTGCATCGGCAATTAATTTACTCTAGTAACAATATAATAAACAGGCTATGTTATAAAATGGCATCTCACTTGAGTAGAAAAATTGGGAACTGAACTTTTATTTTATAATTATTACAAAATATTTTTGATAAAATGAGAAACTTTCATATGTATTTCACAGAGTTTTGCATAACAATGATAACGCACCTTGAATAAAATATGCATGTCTCCAACAAAATGTATATTCCAATCATTTTCGATCGGATATTTTCTCGAGCGATCGAAATATTGTAATCAATAATTAAATATTATAAATTACATCAATGCTTCGAATTATTTATATAAACGAGACAATTTTCAGGAGCCATACCTCCTTATTTCCATTTTTCAATTCCTCTCTAGTTCGTCCGATGGGTTACGTAACTGATAGTCGCAGCAATCAACCTCAGGATTGTGACAAAATTTGTGAAGTGTTTCATAATACCTGAAAACTCCTTATTAAAACACAACTAGTTTACATATAAAATATAATTGATCTATTAGAATTTTAGTAATATTTAAATATATATTGTTAGCATAAAAATATATGTGAAGAAATTATTTCGATAACTTTCAGATTAAGTAAGCGCCTCACAGATTTCGTAATGTTAACTGACCTGGAGGTCAACGCCGCGACTGTCAATTGCACGGCCCGCGGAAGCGGCAAAGGGAAGTAAAAAAACGTAGCCTTTGAAAATTGCTCGTTTATTATTATATATTTATTTATACAAATAATTCCAAATACAATTGAATTCTATGAAAAGATAAATTAAACTTCATAATTTTTAAATATTTACTAACCTTAAGACCGAGATATTCTCCAGCAAAACAAAAGATAAATATTTCCACTAATATTCCACTGTAAGCAAATGCGGTACCTACTAGGCTAACACCAACTCCGTTATGAACGGACTATTTCGTTAAACAATCAAAGAATTTCATAAATTACTATATCAAGTACTTGGCCCATTTGGCATTACAATACTCACTGTTATAATGAAAAGTCCTAGAGAGCAGATAACTACGGTATTGCAAGAAAATTGTAAGAAAGTCATGAAAGAGAAAAATTTATCGAGATTTCCAGAAAATGTAATGACTCTATGATGCTTCTCGATCAACATTCTTATTGTTTTCCCAGGCGATCCATAATATGACATTTTCTCAGAGATGTTTTTGAACTCTTGACATATGATATCGATTTGTCCGCTTACATGAAGTACCTAAAATATACTTAAGTATCTGCAAAGACTTTAATGTTTAAGAATGAAATTACTTGACGAAGGATCGATTAAAATGGAGAAATGATAGCAGCAAGCCGCAATATTCTTTTATAAAAGATTATTTTAGATTATAAAAAATTTTCCGTCTAATGATTATTTTCTTATTTCCTTATATAATTTTAGAGAAAGTCAAAATTTGTTCAAAAACAAAGTTTGCACACTACTTTGAATCGGAAATAGAACCACGTTACTTTAACACTTTCACAACCGCTGACACCAATGTGGTGCCATGGGCAGGCCAGTCGTTGTATGCCGGTGACACTCATGTGGTGTCATTGGTAGGCCAGTCGTTATTTGCAGGTGACACTCACGTGGTACCATTGATAGGCCAGTCGCTATTTGCCGGTGACTCCCACGTGGTACCAGTGGCAAGCCACTTGCAAAACTTTTCTTAGCACGTCATAATAATGTTAATTGTTTCATGAATTTACGTAAAGTTTTTTCTTCCAAAATATTGCCGGCCACTGGCGACGTTTCACTGCGCTAACATGCGGTTGTGAAAGTGTTAATCGTTTTTTTCAGGTTACGAGTCAACTTGTCGCAGAATTTATGCGAGACGTACCAGGGTAATTAGCAAAACATTCACAACAGTAGCCGAGTACACGTTTAATACCCTATGTACAAACAAGACGACGAAGAGTAGCTCATAATTTGGTGATCGCTCAGTATCAAAAGGAAGCAGTAAATTTATAGGTAACGATCGTAAAGTATCATTATCGCCTTCTGCCACATATAAACTCTTAATCGCGGTATTGCCGATACCATATAACGAATCTGCGAATATGTAAAAACCGAACAAAGTATTCGAGCAAAAGTGCGATATGCTGGCTTTCGTTGTCATCAAATGTAAATGTTGATCGACTTTCACGCACTCTCGCCAATCAGTGTCGATAGCGGCTAATATTTCCCGAACTATGCTGCAATATGTTATTTTAATTGAATGAAGAGACTTCATGTGGCAATGTTATCATCTCTATGCGAAATTACATTCTGTCGCATCGACTAATATTTAGACCATGCAATTATTAAATTACGTTGCGCTTTAAAGAAGATCAGGGGGACGAATAGTACACATTGAGAAGTTCAGATTCATTCCATTCCTCTAATGCTGAAATTGATTGGAGAAACTAAAAATCGCGTTGTCTGACACGATATCTTACCGAAGGTTCATCCAAATTGTCACCCACTTGACGATCCCCAAAGTGTAATATATAGTTGTCGGCAAACTAACCACGAGATTTTCTAACTCGTCGAGCTTACAATGCGCTAATACGTACAGATATTGAAAATATTGCATGACTAGCATACTCAACAAAAAAAGCAGCCGTCGAACAACTGCGTATGATACATCCGGCCACACACCGAACAACTGAAGTCCGATTTTTAGTGAAGGACTGATCGTACTCGTGAACATCATCTGTCGATTCCGAGAATAGACGAGGAAACGAAAGTCGAAATGTACGCAGCACTCTTGTATGATTGTACGATAAACTGAAAAAGCCTTGACCGCTTCTCCAAATGCATCCCCACTATGCTATGTCCCCACTACGGTGACCACCGATCAATCGATGTTGTGCGTTGCGTAGTATAACATTAAGTCAAGATACAACTCATAATTGGCTTGGAAGTCTTCTGTAATTTCACCGACTATTTTGAATAATGCCATCTGACTAAGTATCGAAAAAAAGTTACACGTTTGTCTCTTTGAGAGAGTGACAATTTTTTTCAAACATTTCCCTCCACGACACTGATACTGTCGACAGAAAGCAAATAATTCTTGCATTTTTTCCGTACACCGAAGATCACATAGTGTGATGAACTCAGTTGAGTGACCGTAATTTTACATTAGTTATTCTAACAGAACAGAACTGAATCATACGCGTGACCATCGGACTTGAAAGAAATAAACGGGAAGAGGACGTTGTGTCTCTCCCGGACTGAAAAGGAACAGCGAATAATGGCGAATAATTTTCATAAATACCGCAGTTAAAAACATTTTCAAGAGAATACATTTGAAGCTCTATCAAAGATAAAAAATCCAGATCGATTAGATGCACATAGAAGTCTAGGTAAAAGCACAAGTAGTCTAAAGACGTTACTTAATTTATGTGGAAATGTACAATCTTCTCAGAGAAAGTTCAACGGCAAATAATTAGGACGCAATTATTATTTTAGTTGTTATTGTTATTTGGAGTAAAGTATTTTAAATATTTTAAAGTATTTTATTGGACAATATAACAACGAAGCAACAAAGAGATATTTCTTATTTCGTATTAAATATGGCTCTTCATTTTATAACTTGTGCATCTCCAATTATACTTAAGATACGTTTGATTTGAGCGCCTATGGCGCTGGAAACGTTATTTTATCTTTCTTTAATATATAATTCACAATAAAGATAGAATACGCTTACAGCGTGTAAGTGCCCGAATCAAAAACAGTTCTAGAATTTATATCAAAATTTGTTATTTAACTATTATACGATATTAATTATAACATTTTCTAAGTTTTTGCTCCCTACTAATCACGCCATTCAGTAATGACCCCTGGCGTACTATGATTTTAATTAATATCAATATATCGCATTCAAGACAGAAACATATGATGCTGACGCTTTCATGACCTAAAATAAGATTTAAAAATTTATTTTTCGAAAAAAAAGCAGATATGTAAATACGCGAACAATGCATTGTGTACTAAGCATTGTGTACTAACATTGAATGTAATTAAGAAAAAGATACGAGATACCCGACAATTTTAGAGAAAAGTTTTCAAACTCACACTTGTGAAAGCTTCTAATGATAAATTCATGATTCCTCCAGCCGTAATACTAAGTTGTTTCTGAGATCTCATAATTACGAGCAACAAATTTTTATTCTGATTTGGCGACATGTTGTACCATAAAGAACTGTACACTGCATCGGCGATTAATTTACTCTAGCAATGTAAACTGATTTTGAAATAAAATGACATATCGCTTTAGTAAAAAAATGAGAAAAATTAGTAAAAAATTAGAAACTAGAATTCTATCTCATCAAAACATCATATTTTTTATATATAATCAGAAATTTTTTATAATATACTTCGTGGATTTTTGCATGACAGTTATAGCGTACCTTGAATGAAATATGCAAGTGAAGAAAACTTTTATCAAGAAGATTAATCTAAAAATAACGTAAATATCTTTTAAGATATTATATATATACATATATTTTCAATAAAATATATATTCCAATCGTTTTGGATCGGATATCTTCTCAATCGATCAGAATATCATACGAGGTGTGTTCATAAAATAACGGGAATTTTTAAATTTCGCGGATTTGGAGAGTCCGATCGTCAAAATTTTTTTTTTTATTATGTTGGTATACATGCCCCTGAAGTATGATAAAATTTTCAGCTGTATTCATTGTTTACTTTGTCTGTGGCAGCCGCTAAGGTTAGACGTGTTTTTATGAGCTCGGCGATTTTCGTTTGTTAAAAGAACTTTGTTAAAAGAAAAAAATGAAATAAAGTGTAACAAAGTGTGTGAAATGTTAACAAAGGCCTATGGTGAGTTTGCTATGAGTAAAACAAGAGTTTACGAGTGGTATAAACGTTTACAAGATGGCCGTGAAGACGTTGAAGATGACGAACGCCCCGGACGCCCCAGCACATCAACAACCGATGAAAACGTGGAAAAAGTGGAAGAAATGGTTATAAACGATCGCCGAATCACAATCAGAGAAGTCGCTGATGATGTTGGCATATCGATTGGCTCATGCCATGAAATTTGTGAAAAAACAATTCATGACTTTTGCACCACGATAATGCACCTGCTCACACTTCATTGCTTGTTCGTGAATTTTTGGCCAAAAACAATACTGTAACGATGCCCCAACCTCCATATTCGCCAGACATGGCTCCGTGTGACTTTTTCCTATTTCCAAAAATAAAGAGAACCTTAAAGGGCCGTCGTTTTACAAGCATAGATGACATTAAAAGTGCATCGCTGAAAAAGCTAAAGGCTATCCCAAAGATCGAGTTTGAGAAGTGTTTCGAGGATTGGAAGAAGCGCTGGCACAAGTGCATAATATATAATGGGGACTATTTTGAAAGCGACAACATTAATGTAGACGAATAAATAAATATTTTTTTCAAAAAACGAAAATTCCCGAAAATTATTTTCTGAACACACCTCGTATACAGTCAATAATTAATTATTATGAATTCGATTATATAAAAAAGTAAATTATAATTAAAGATTTTCTAATATTTACTAACCTTAAGACCAAGGTATTCTCCAGAAAAACAAAAGATAAATATTTCTATCATTATGGCAAATGATAGCAAATGCGGTACCCACTAGACCGACACCAATTCCGTTATGAACAGACTATTTCGTCAAAAGATCAATTCCATGAATTACTTATAATTATCGGATATTGCGTATTTTGTTCTACGATACTCACTATTATGATGAGAAGTCCTAAAAAGCAGATAACTATGGTATTCCAAAAAAATTGCAAAGACAAGAAGGAGAAAAACTGATCGAGATTCTCGAAAAAAGTAATGACTTTATGATGCCTTTCGATCAATTCCTATTGTCTACCCAGATGATCCGTAATATGGCGTTTTCTCGGAGATGTTTTTGAATTCTTAACATATGATATCGATTTGTCCGTTTATATGAAGTACTTAAAATATATTTAAGTATCTGCAAAGACTTCGATGTTTAAAAAAGAAATTGCTTTACAAAAAATACATCGATTAAATAGAAGAACTGAAAAAGAACAAGACGTAATATTATAATATTCTTGCATGTGTGTGTATTCTATAATAGATTATTAAATTATAAAAAAAAATCTCTGTCCAATGATCAGTGTACTTTCTTATTTCTTGATCTAGTTTTAGGAGAAGTCGGAATTTGTATGAAGACAAATTTCGCAAACAACTTTGAATTAAACAGGTAAAATTATATTATATTTCTTATATCGCTTCTTTCAGGTTATGAGCCAACTTGCTGCAGAATTTACACAAGACATACCAGAGTAACTTGCAGAATGTTTATAACAGTAGCCGAGTATACATGTAACATCGCATGCACAATCAAGACGACGACGAGCAACTCATAAATCGGCGATTGCTCAGTGTCAAAGGGAAGCAGTACTTTCATGGGTAACGGTCGTAAGGTATCATTACCACTTTCTGTCTGATATACAATTTCAAGCACAATATTGCCGATGGCATAGCACAATCCTGCCAATATGTAGAAAACGAATAAATTTTTCGAGCAAAAATGTGACATACTTGCTTTCGTCATCATTAAATGTAAATGTTGATCGATGTTTGCGCACTTTCGCCAATTAGTGTTGATAGTGGCCAGTATTTCGTGAATCACATTGTAATGTATCACCTTAATCGAATGAAGGTATTTTGTTCCGTTGGTGGTGTTATAATCTTTATGCGAAATTATACTGCGTTGTATTGATTAATGTTTAGATTGTACAATTATTATATTATTAAATTACGTTGCGCTTTAATAAAGATGGGGAGTACGAATAGTACATATTGAAGATGGACTCAGCTCCCCAATCCTCTAATGCTGAAAGTAATTGTAGAAACTCAAAATTACGTTGTCTGACGCGATATCTTACCGAAGGTTCGTCCAAATTCGTCATCAGCTTGACGATCCCCAAACTGTAATCTAGAGTTGTCAGTAAGCTGTCCACAAGATTTTGCAGCTCGTCGAGTTTGCAATGCGCGAATAAGTACTGATACTGAAAATATTGCACGACCAGCATGCTCAGCAAGAAAAGCAGTCGTCGAAAGGCGGTGCATGAATTGTCCGGCCACACTCCGAGAAATCGAAGGCCGATTTTCAACGAAGGGCTGATCGTGCTCGTGAATATCATTTGTGAACGATTTCAGGAATACGCGAGGAAACGGAAATTCTGGGCGCGAGCGGTACTCTCGTGTATGATATACTGAAAGAGCACCGACCGATTCTCTAATTGTACCCCCACTTGCTACCCCACTCTGGTGGCCACCGATCAATCGTTATTATCCGTTGTGTAGTATAACAATAAGTCGAGACGCTACTCATTATCGGCATGGACGTTTTATAATTCCATCGACTGCTCTGAATAATGCCTTCATCGAAAAAAAGTTATATGTGTGTTTCTTCGAGAGGTAGACAGTTTTTTTCAAGAATTTTCTTCCATGATAATATGATACCGTCTTCGCGTTTTTTTTTTGCACACCGCAGATTATTTAACGTACGGTAACTCAGTTGAGCGATTGTAATTCCGCATTAATTATTGCAACAAAACGGAACGGTATTATACGCGTGGTCATGAGTCTTGAAAGAAATAAACGAAGGGAAAACGTTGTATCTCCCTTGAACTGGAAGCAAATAGAGGATAATGGAGAGTAATTTTCGTAAATACTACGATGAAAGGCGCTCTCGGGAGAACATATTTGAAAGAATATCTGAAATAAAAAATCTGTATCGACTACTTAGAAGTTTTATCGTGGGGTGGATTATATAAAAAACGTTATCTAATTTATGTGAAAATACACAAGCTTCCTGGAGAAGATTCAGCAGCAAATACGTTAGATAGGATTTGAAAAGCTACTTTATTTTTTAGGTAAAAACATTTTAATGTACAATATAATAACAAAGCACGAAGGAGGTATTTCTGTATAGATTTAAATATGAGCTTTAATTTTGCAACATGCACAATTCCGACTAAACCTACGATCTTTATAAAATAATTTGTTATGCTATTATTATTAACTTCATTTTCATAACAGTTTCTACATTATCATTGCGTACTAATCGCGCCATTCCAGTGTTAATCCTGGCGTACTATAATTTCGAGTAACATTTATACATCGCAATCAAAACAGATACATATGACGCCGACGCTTTCATGAACTAAAATAATGTGAAATGTATTATTATTCTCAATAGGATGCTTATATGCAAACAATGCATTGTACAATAAGTGCTAAAATTAAATAAGAATAATACGAAATATTAGACAGTTGTAGATCAAGTAAGGTTATATAAACTTACACTCGCAAAGACTTCTAACGATAAATTCATTATTCCTCCCACTGTGATAAATTTTTTCTGAGATCTCATGGTTACGAATAATATATTTTTGCCCTGTTTAGACAACATGTTATACTATAAAGATTCGTACGCTGCATCAGTGAAAAGGGATAAAAAGAACGACCTTCGCTCTCTATATATCATGAAGACTATTTGCTGTACGAAAACTCGACTGAACGATCGCAATTACGCATTAGACATTCAAATTGATCGAGCTCGTATTGTAACCGTGGTTACGGGATCCTTGTAAGATATAAATAATATCTGGAGGGAATATTAAGAAGAAAAACTCTGAATCGACTAGAGACATAAGGAGAAGTCTAATTGCAATCACAGGCAGCGAAAAGCAGCAAAAAATCTACGTGAACTATATGGAAATGTTTCAACTTGCCGCTGAAGGTTTAACTGCAAATATATTGGACATGGTGTGAGACACATATATGTTACTTTTCCTGGGTAATAATAATTTAACATACAATATAACAATGAAACAATGGAGAGATATTTATTGTATAGTGTTAAATATAAGAATAGCTTCTATATAATCTGTGCAAATTCCCCTCTTGCACATTAAATCGGTATGAAGATTTAATCTACAATTATAACATAATATCATTGATAACAACTTCTAAATTACTCCATTCAGTGTTAACGAGTTAATGTTGTTTTTATTAATATGAATACATCGCATTCAAAACAGACACATATGACACCGAGGCTTTCATAATCTAAAATAAGATAAAACAATCAAATTTTGTGACAAGTGCTGAAATTAAGAAAAAAATAATCAAATAGTTATAGATCAAGAAAAATCCGCACGCTTACAATTGGGAAGGCTTCCAACGATAAATTCGTCATTCCACCCGTCGTGATAATCAGTTGTTTCTGAGATCTCATAATTACGAATAATATATCTTTGCCCTGTTTAGACGACATGTTGTACCATAAAGATTCGTATACTGCATCAGCGAGTGATTTGTTCTGGGGGCAACACAACAGACAGAAATTTAAGAAAAATTATATCTTCCTTTAATAAAAAAATTAGCTTTTGTAACCTATGAATATTCTAAAATGCTTATAATATAATGAAAAATATTAACATATATTGCGAAATTAGACATAATTATAAAAACTTCGACCGAAACTTCTCATGAAGGGAAATTCCTATCGAAAAAGCAAAGTAAAAGTGATGTCAATATATTTTAATAGATATTTATCTTCTTGAAATATTTATGTTGTAATCATTTTTGATCGGAAATCATTCCAAATAATCGAGCTAATATGATTAGAAATTAATTAATGGTCGAATTAGTTTGCATGAAAACATATTAACACAAAGATATTTTTTAATATTCACTAACCTTAAGACTAAGATATTCCCCAGCACTGCAAATGATCAAGATTTCCACCATTATCCCAACGTAACCAAGTGCGGATTTTATCAGGCTGACACCAGATTCATTATGAATTGACTGCAATATTAAACGGTTTTCAATAATTATTTTCAAAAATGTGGATTTAAGGCTTAAAAAGCATATACGAATCGAACATACTGTGTTTCAGAGCTTTAACGCGCATAAATCTCTTTCTTACTGGGTTCTAGGGTTTTCGGGTTATAGCATTTTGAGTGTATGGGGTTAAGGGGTTATGGGTTTAAGGAATTAAGGAATGAAGGGATTAAGATGTTAAGGGGTTTTGGAGTTATTGGGATTAAGTGATCAATGGATAGAGGATTTATTGGGATTTCGAGACTTTTTTTTGAGGTTATGAAAAATCCTGACGTGATGGGGTTAAATGAACCCCGAATTTGGATTCAGCGACCCCGAAAACATATGATAGACATAGTCAGATCCCAGGGGTAATTTTGTTAATTTTTTTGTGGAACTGTGTTATTCAATTATAAAAATCTTCAGCAAGACCAGTGACATGTAAATATTCACACATTCAGGTCAAGCTTTCACCGACGCCAGAGAATTTGTATATACAGAAAAAAAAAAATTCTATATTCAAGTAAATAATTACTCCAATATTCTTTAATAAATTTTTATTTGGATTAAGAAAATATTACTTGAATGCATATTTTTGTAAAATAAGAGGCTAAAGAAATTTATATAATCCAAGAAAAAATTTGCTAAGGAGTATTGGAGTAATTATTTACTTAAATATCGCATTTGTTTCTTTCTGTGTGGAAGCAAGTTTTGCAAATTATATTATATCACAACTGAAGTTATATCATTTCTCTTGCGTCGATACTTTCGGATTGTGAATCGAACGGACAAGAGAATTTTTAAGATGTACCAGAGAAAAGATTAGAGCGTTCACAGTAGAAGCCGTGTATATGTTTAACATGGCATGCAGAAACAAGGCGACGACGAGTAGTTCGTAAATCGGTGATTGCTCGACCTCAGAAGGAAACAGTAACTTCATGGGAAACGGTCGTAATGTATCATTATCGCCCTCAGTCTGTTGTACGATACCAAGCGTGTAAGTGCCCATGAGGTAAAGCTCCCCGGCGAACACGTAGAAACTTATGAAAGCTTTCGTGCAAAAATGCGAGAGGCTAGCTTTCGTCTTCATTACGTGCAAATGCTGATCGATGTTCGTGCACTCGCGCCAATCAGAGTCCATGATAGCTAGTAGTTCGTGAACAACGCTACAATGTGTCCGTTTTAATTGGATAAAAATACTTCGTATCGTGGTGTTATTAACTCTAGGCGAAATTATATACCACATTGTCGATTAGTATTTAGACGGTGTAATTATTAAGTCACGTTCGCGATGTAATTATTAAGTTACGTTCCGGTTTAATAAAGATCTACGGATCTACGGATCTACGGATCTACGAAAGGTATACGGAAAAAAAATTATGGTTGAATCAACTTGAAGATGAACAAATCAAACGCGTTTTTATTGGAGAAAAGAATTTCTGGTTCTTATAAAACGTGAAAGGTTCTTATTCTGGTTTCTACTAAATTCGGTTCGTACAAGCAGAAATTCTATTTCCTTTAACCGAAATGTGTTTGGTTCATTCTTTAGCTCGGCTTCACAAGTCGATGATGATGATTTGAAAACTCTAGTAATTATCAAAACGAATGATCTGAAAAATCAACCATCGATTCGATATCGATGGTTGATTTTTCAGATCATTCGTTTTGATAATTACTAGAGTTTTCAAAGATGCAAAGGATAATCGGCGCTATATTAGCGACAGATCGGCATGATATTTTGTTAATAACATGTCAATGTAAAGTATCGATATCTAGTTATCTGTGTAACATGTAGAAGATATTATATAAGTATCAATCAATTATTGACGATCTGATCGGTATTCAAATCGAATCATTATATCCATACGAGGTCTGTTCAAAAAGTAACGCTAATTTTGAATTTCCGCGGGTTACGTATATTCGATTTTCGATTTTTTTGTGGCGTTATGTTGGTACTCATGTCCCTCACTTATGCCGACAAGTTCGGCCATTTTGAATATTGTTTATCTTTGACAGCTGTTTTGCTTGGACGTGTTTTGGCTCGTCTTCGATTTTTGCCTATTCCAAAAAATGGATCAAAGAATCTGTATCAAATTTTGTGTGAAAAACAAAATTAAGTGCGCGGACGCATTCCGAATGTTGACTGTGGCATATGGTGAAGCTACCTTGGACCGAAGCAACGTTTATCGGTGGTACAAAATGTTCTCAGAGGGCCGAGAAGATGTGAACGACGAAGAGCGTGCCGGACGCCCGAGCACATCAACAACAGACGAAAACATTGATGAAGTGAAGAAAATAGTATTGGCCAATCGTCGAATCACCGTTAGAGAAGTTGCTGAGGACCTAAACATATCGATTGGCTCGTGCCATTCGATTTTTACTAATGATTTGGGCATGAGACGGGTCGCCGCGAAATTCGTACCAACGCCCCTGCTCACACATCGTTGCTTGTACGCGAATTTTTGGCCAAAAACAACACACTAATGATGCCGCAGCCACCGTATTCCCCAGACCTGGCCCCATGTGATTTTTTCTTGTTCCTGAAACTGAAGAGGCACATGAAAGGACGACGCTACGCTACGATTGAGGAGATAAAGACGGCATCGAAGGAGGAGCTGAACAAGATCACAAAAATGATTTTTTGAAGTGCTTCGAGGATTGGAAAAACGTTGGCACAAGTGTATAATATCTGATATGGATTACTTTGAAGGAGACAAAATAGATATTCATGAATAAATAAATAATTTTTGAAAAAACCCAAAATTCGCGATACTTTTTGAACAGACCTCGTATATCAACTTGATGTGAATGTGATATAAACTAAATAACGATTGATTAACTGAAGATCGTCAACATTTATATAATATCTTCTAGATATCTAGTTGAAGTCTATGAAACCGAATATTGATTTCCACATGATTTCGACTAGACTTCGACATAACTTCAATTGGATTTTTTATCCACATGTGAAACCGGGTGTCCCGCTAACTAAACTCTCGTTAGTCTCATTTCTCGGATTCGCGGAAGCAAATTGGAAGTACTGAAAATCACGTTGTCCAACACAATGCCTTACCGACTATTCCTCGAAAGATAGATCAGCTTCATTATTGTCACACAATAATATAAAGCTATCGGCACGCTGTCCATAAGGTTATCCATGTCATCGAACTTGCAATGCGCGAAAACATAGAGATATTGAAAGTATTGCATGATGAATATGCTCGATATAGCAGCCGGCGAATAACGACATGTGGCATTCACCGCCACACGCCCAGAAATAGAAGGCCACTTTTCAGCGACGGACTGATAGTGCTCGTGATAATCATCTGTTAACGATCCCGAGGAAATGCAAGGACACCAAAGTCACAGCACGCATGGTACTCTCATGCACGATAAACTGCGAGAGCATCGTCCAATCCCTCGAGCGCATTCCCACGTGCTTGCGTCCATTCTTCAGTGACCAGGGATCGATTGTTATTATACGTTGCGTAATATCATAGTAAGTAGGGAGACAACTCATTATCCGCTTTTCCAATTCCGCCAGCGCTTTGAATAATACCTTCCGACCGAGAATTAATGAAAGAAAACGTTACACATACGTCTCTTCGAGCGAGCATCGGTTTTATTTTCTGCTTATTTTGCAAATTTCTCTCCGTGGCAACGCGATGCTACAGATGAAAAGCGAGTGATTCCCGTGTATAAAAGACCATTTAACGTATAACGACTCGGTTGAACGATCGTAATATAGCATTAGTTATTCTAACGGAACAGAACTAAATTACATGCGTGGCCATGAATCATGAGGGAAATAAACGGGGAAGGAATATTGTGTTCCATCCTGTCTAAGGAGGAATAGCAAATAATACGAGTAATTTTTATAAATGTTACAGAGAACAGTGTTCTCCGGGATGTACATGTGGCAAAAGTCTCAAAAGTAAAAATTTGTAATCAATTTGAATCGTCGTGGAAATTTACATACACACGTAAACGAAAATGACGTGAAAACTGTACATGAATTTTCAGAGAAAATATTTTATAGTAAACAGATTAGTCAGTAATCTGAAGTTATTTGCTTTTCCCCAGCAAGTATATTTTAATCTCCGCAATAGTGATGATTGAAGTGATCGCGCAGACCGCAGGAGGTAAATATTTCTTCGAACTCATATGTAAAATATAATTTGGAGTATCTGAAAATCGTGAATATTGAAAACTAAGTTCAATAAAATCAATAGAAACATTTTACTTAAAATTAATAACTTGATATCGAATTACAGTTTTTTAATTTTCAAATCATCTTTCTCTTTGCACTAATTACATTATGATTTTAACCGCAACGTTGCCCACCACCGATAATGACATTACAATTATACAAATTTTACCAATTAATCTTTATTTATAAATGATTTTACATATGTTAAAAGTGTAGAGCTATTTTTTCGCAAACGAAAATAATGGAAAGACATTGTTGTAAATTATGGAAAGACATTGTTGTAAATTAGGTCGAGCTGATCAAACTTGCGAGTGGAGGCAAATACGTTGTACACGATGTGAGACGTTATTGTTTTTTGCATAACATTTCATTATACAGTATAGCAACAATACTACAAAAAAGAATTTATTATGTTGTATCAGATATAACAATAGATTATGTAATGGGAAAATCTACTATTACATCTACAACCTAATAAAGATTTAGTCTATGGTTATATTGCAATTTCATTATTGATAACAGTAATGATAACAGTTTCTAAGCTATATCCCATATTAATTGAAGCATTTAGGGTTCACACTAGCATCGTAGAATTTATAATTATATTAATACATTGCATACAAAACAGACACATATGACGCCGACGCTTTGATGATCTAAAATAACATGAAACAAATTATTGTTCTTAAAGAGGTACATATATATTACATGCAAATGACATATTTTGTAATAAGCGCTGAAATTATTTAATAATAAGGTAAAATTGTAGATGAAAGAAAGTCAGTGCAGGCTTACACTCGCAAAGGCTTCTAACGATAAATTCATCATTCCTCCCGCTGTGATAATAAGTTCTTTCTGAGATCTCATGGTTACGAATAATATATTTTTAGCATGATTACATGACATATTATACCACAGTGAATCGTAAGCTGCATCGGCGAGCGATATACTCTGGGAGTAATGCAACAAATAGAAATTGGGTTAAATAACATCTTCCTTTGTTGGAAAAATTATAAACATGATCTATAAGTCTACGAATATCATAAAATACTTATAATACAATGCAAAGTGTATGTATATATATATCACGGATCTTCTTTTGCAAGAGAATTAATGCATCTAGAACACATAGAATATGTACCAAAAAAAAAAAAATAACTATATCTTGAAACAGTGCTCAGAATTAGTTTCACTTTTGATGCGATTTTCCGGAGTTACGCCTACTTACTTCCCCTTATCGCCCTAATAAGCCGATTCTCCAACTTTTAACGACAGTATCATTGTCATTATGGTATCGTTGCGCAGGAATAACACATGACGGAAAAGGTGCACAACGACCATAACAATAACAACATTGTCGTTGAAAGTTGAGGCTGCAAAGAAAAGCAAATAGGTATAGCTCTCGAAAATCGCCTCGAAAGTGAAACTAATTCCGAGCAATACTAAAATATAAACGTTATGTGCGCATGATGTTTCTTCTCAATCAAAAATTGTTTCAAATAATTCAGCTATTATGTTTAATAATTAATAATGAGATGGTTATAGATAATAAAGATAGAGCAGATAATAGAGAGAATAAATTTAATAACTAATTCGCGTTTAAAAATTACTTACAAATTATTTTCAAACATTCACTGACCTTAAGACTAAGGTATTCTCCCACAAAACAAATGATAAAAATTTCTATTAGTATAGCGCCATAACCAAATATGGTTTTTACCAAGCCGACACCAGATTGATCAACCGACTGTTTCATTAAACGACCAAGGAATCGAATGTATTACAGTATCGATCATCGTGCATTCATATACGCATTGCAATACTTACTGTTATAATGAGAAGGCCTAAGACGCAAATAACCATGGTGTTCAAAAGTATTTGCGTGAAAACTATGAAAGAGAATAACTTATCGATATTCTCGGCAAATGAAATAACTTTATTGTGCCTTTTTACCAGTATTCCTAATGTATGTCCAGAAGATCCGTAATAGGGCATTTCCTCAGAGATAGTTATCAACTCTTCGCGTATGATATCGATTTGTCCGCTTGCATGAAGTATCTGAAATATACTTAAGTATCCGCAAATATTTTAAGTATTTTGTTTAAAGAAGAAATTGTTTTATCAAGGATATCTCTCAACTGAAAAGGAAGGACAAGCAGAGAATAATATTCTCCCGTATATGTGTATGTGTGTTTGTAAGATATATAATTCATTATTTCATTATAAAAATTTTGCGACCGGAGATCAATAAACTTTTTTTATTTTTTTACTTCAAGTTTTAGACAGCGTCAGAGCTTGCGTAAAAGCAAATTTCGCAAACTACGTTTGTTCGCAAATAAAGCTACATATACTTTTCCAGCGTCAATAATTTTGGTCAGTCTGTCGACTCGTCGCAGAATTTAGACGAGACGTACCAGAGTAAGAAGCAGTACGTTCACAAAAGAAACCGTGTACACGTTTAATATTGACTGTGTAAACAAGAAGACAACTAGCAGCTCATAGATCGGCGAATGATCAACCTCAAAGGGAAGCAATATTTTGACGGGTAATGGTCGTGAGGTGTCATTATCGCCTCCCGCCTGATGCACAATTGCGATCGCGGTATCGGCCATGAAGTAGAGAGCACCGGCAAATGTGTTGAAACCGAACAAAGCGTTCGAGCAAAAATGCGAGACGCCAGCTTTCGTCGCCATCAAGTGCAAATGTTGTTCAATACTCGCGCACTCGCGCCAATCAGTGTCCATAGCGTCCAGTAATTCGCGAACCACGCTGCAATGTGTCGCTTTAATCGGACAAATATACTTCGTGCGGTGGCGTTAATCACTTCAATGCGAAATTATATGCGTCGTCGACTAACATTTATATCGTGCGATTATTAAGTCACGTTACATTTTAGCAAAGGTCAGTGTGAACAAATATTAAAGGACTTCGCTCACTCTTACTCCTCATCGCGGAAACTGAACGGAAAAACATAAAATCGCTTTGCCGACGCGGAATCTTACCGACGATTCTTCCAAAGTGTCATCAGCTTGACGATCGTCAAGCTGTTATTTATAGTCGCTGGCAAACTGTCCACTAAATTCTGTAGTTCACCGGTTGTACAATGCGCATATGTATATAGATACTGAAAGCACTGTATGATCAATAAGCTCAACAAGTAAACCAGCCCGTTAAGAACGGTGTATGATACGTCGCACCACACACCGAGAAATCGAAGACCGATTTGCAACGACGGACTGACGGTGCTTGTGAACACCATCTGTCAACGATGCCTAGAATGTGTGAGGAAACTGAACTCAGACTGTATACAGTTCTCTCATATATGATACCTAGATAAGGCACTGTCCAATCCCCCGAGTTCATCCCTACGTGCTACGTCCCCACTCCGGTGACCATCGATATTATGCATTGAATAGGATAACGGTAATAGACGCAGTTTATCGTCTACTTGAATATCCTGTAATTTCGTTGACGCTCTGAATAATTCCTCCTTCGCCCGCATAAAACAATATTACGTGTATGTCTCTTCGAGCGGTGATCAATTTTCCTTTTGCAAATTTTTCTCCATGTCGTCGCGATACTATTGTTAAAAAACAAGTGTTCTTCGCTTTTTCTACGCGCATAGAAGACTATTATCGTGCTGGGTCGCAGGTGAACGATCTTAATTCTGCATTAGTTATTCCAGCAGAACGGAACTGAATTGCATGCGTGGCCATGAATCTTGGAAGAAATAAATGAGGGGAGAACATTGTGTCTATCTTGGGGCGAATATCGAATAATACCGGGTAATTTTCATAAATGCTACGGTGTACTGCTCTCTGCGACGGGGTGCATTTGTGATATAAGTATCAAAGGCAACAATTTTTAATCGATTAATTTTGTCATTGAAACTTAGTTACGGGCACAATGAAACAAAGATGCCGTGGAAACTATACATATGGATAATTTGCAGGGAAAATTTTATAGCAAATAAGTTGGACAATAAGTGGTCTGAGGCATCACACATGCTTTTTCCAAGCAAAAATGTTTTAACCCTTGCAATACTAAAAACAATCAACGAAAAGACGCTGCATAAACTAGATGAAGATGATCAAATTTGCCAGTGAAGGCAAATATGCTATTTGGCAAATATACTATATACGCTATCGCTTTTTAACTAACAACATTTCAATGTACAATGCAGTAACAAAACGACAAAAAATAATTTATTAATTTATCGTGTTAAATATGAAGATTGAATATGTAATCAGTAAGTCCACGATTACATCTGTAATCTATATAAAGATTTAGTCTACGGTTATCATGTAATTTCATTGGTAACAGTTTCTAAATTGTTACCCCATACTAATTACGGTATTTAGGGTTCACGTTACGTTAAAGTATATAATGATATCAATACATTGCATACAAAACAGACACATATGACGCCGACGCTTTCATGATCTAAAATAAGATGAAACAAGTTATTGCTCTTAAAGAGGTGATATATATGTATATATGTAACTGATATAGTTTGCAACGAGCGCTGGAATTAGTTGACAATAGTACAAAATGTCGGATAATTATAGATGAAGAAAAATCGGCAGGCTTACACTCGCGAAGGCTTCCAACGATAAAGTCGTCATTCCACCCGCCGTGATAGTTAGTTCTCTTTGAGATCTCATGATTACGAATAACATATTTTTAGCGTGATTAGACGACATGTTGTACCATAGTGAATCGTACGCTGCATCGGCCAGTGATATACTCTGAGAGCAATGCAACAAACAGAATTTGAAGTAAAATGACGTCTGTCTTTATTGGAAAATTTATAAACAAGTCCATATATTGGGAGTACAAATTAGTTCGGTCCGTTTTCAAAAGATGGCTCTGGCTGTTATGAATGTTTCATAGTGACAGCTAATTTCGGTAGTTTCAGAGAGGTTAGACATCTGTCAATAATATTCAGTTTATATCGCTTTGAGTTTCATACAAAACCCCTGTTTTTTACTGTATTGAATATGTCAAATTTTGTGTTAACTAAGCAGCATTTGCAGGAGGTTTTAATTTTCTGCTTTAATTGGAAGAAAAGTGCAGCTGAAGCGTATCGAATGCTTGTAGAAGTTTATGGTGACAATGCTCCAACTGATAAATCATATAGGGAATGGTTTCGACGTTTCAAGAATGATGATTTCAGCGTTGAAGACAAGCCTCGCTCATGCTGTGTATCTGGTGGGACCAAAAGGGTGTTATATACTATGAGCTGCTACAACCTGGCGAATCCATTACAGGCCATCGGTATAGGATAAAATTGATTCGTTTGAGTCGTGCATTACGAGAAAAACGGCCGGTATATGAGCAAAGACATGACAAAGTTATTCTTCTGCATGCTAACGCTCGGCCTCATATTGCAAAAGTCGTAAAAAATTATTTGGAAACGCTCAAGTGGGATATTTTACCGCACCCGCCGTATTCGCCGGACATTGCTCCTTCTGATTACTGGTTGTTCTAACGGATGCAGCACGATTTGGGAGGTCACCGGTTTACTTCTTTCGGAGAAATCGAAAATTGGCTCTTAACTTGGATCGTCTCAAAAGACGAGACATTTTTTCGAGATCGAATTCGAAAATTGTCTGAGAGGTGGAAAAAAGTAGTAGCCACTGATGGATAATACTTTGATTAATCTGTTCATTCATTTTGTTCTGAAATAAATGCATTTTTGACCATATAAAAACGGACCGAACTAATTTGTACTCCCAATAGTATCATTAAATGCTTAATACTACGCTGAAAATAAAAAATATATATATATATATATATATACATATGTTCAGGGTGTCCAAAAACAATAATGCCAACTCTTGTATTTTATGATTTTCGCAATAATTATTGAATAATTATTAAATAATTATTTGATTTTAACGTGCTCGACTACTTTGTTTAAGGCTATGTTAAAACTTCAGTCGAGCATAGACATGATGGTGCCAAAGATGAGGTACACTAAGCAATTTCAGCGGCCTTTAACACAATTATGCCGAACATGGTGCACCATGGGACACAACAGATAACTTAAAGAGCCGAACTCTTACAAATACGAGGAAGTCACTTCGAATAGTTACATTAAATAATGTAAAGAAACTATTAAACCATTATTACAAATATCATAAAACGATACAAGACTCTTTTATTCATCTCAATCCGTTCTATGCTTTCACGAGCATTTTCATTACTGTTCTGGGACACATTGTATATTATTCTTGCATCAGAATTATAGTACATCTAGAATAGAACATGCAAATAAAAAAATCTACCATTTGTTTTAAGATAACTGTGCCTTAAAATATGTACATTGTATATGTTTCCTTATATGTTATGTAATCTTTTTTTAAATAATTGTGCTATTATGTTCAATAAAAAACTATAATAGATGTACATAACAAAGATAATATATATATATATATAATACATATAATACATATAATACACATAATATAGAAATAATTAGTTTAACATTTAATTTGAATGAAAATATCACTTACAAATGATTTTAAATATCTACTAACCTTAATGCTAAGATACTCTCCTACAAAGCAAATGATAAACATTTCAATTGTTACAGCGCCATAAGCAAATGCGGTTTTTATCACGCCGACACCAGATTCGTCGACAGACTGTTTCATTAAACAATTAAGAAAGTAAATGTGTAACGGTATCATTTACCGCGCACTCTTATACGTTTTACGGTACCTACTGCCATAATGAAAAGTCCCAAGGCACAAATAACTATGGTATTCAAAAGCACTTGCATCAAAGCTATGAAGGAGAATAGCTTATCGACATTCTCGGAAAATGAAATGACTTTATTATGCCTCTCGACCAGTATTCCTAATGCATGTCCAGAAGAGCCATATGAAGAAATTTCTTCCGAGATAATTTTCAAGTCTTCACATATGATATCAATTTGTCCGCTTGCATGAAGTATCTGAAATACATTTAAGTATCTGCAAAGACTTTAAGTATTTTGTTTAAAGAAAAAAATTACATTATCACATCCCGATAAAAAAAAAAGAACAAAAACAGAGCAAGATGTAATATCCTCCCATGATATATAATTAATTATAAAAATTTCGGGACCAGTGATCAATAAACTTGCTTGTATTATTTTTTATCAAGTTTTAAGCGACGACACGGTTTTCGTAAAAACAAGTTTTGCAAACTTATCGTTTAGTTATCATTGCCTTATAAGTCGACGCGTCGCAGAATCTAGACGAAACGTACCAGAGTAAAAAGCAGAGTGTTCACAATAGTAACCGAGTACACGTTTAACATCGCATGCATAAACAAGACAATGACGAGCAGTTCATAGATCGGCGAATGCTCAGCCTCAAAGGGAAGCAGTATCTTGATGGGAAACGGTCGTGAAGTATCATTATCACCCCCTGCCTGATGCGCAATTGCGATCGCGGTGTCGGCCATGACGTAGATCGCTCCGGCGAATGTGTTGAAACCGAACAAAGCGTTCGAGCAAAAATGTGAAATGCCAGCTTTCGTTGTCATCATGTGCAAATGTTGATCGACGTTCACGCACTCGCGCCAATCAGTGTCCATAGCGGCCAGTAATTTTCGAACCACGCTGCAATGTGTCGCTTTAATCGAATAAACATATTTCGTGCGGTGGCATTATCACTTCAATGGCCAAATTATACGCCATCATGTTGACTAATATTTAGATCGGCGAAATTATTAAGTCACGTTGTGCTTCGACGAAGATCAGGGGGAACGGATGTTACATATCGAGGGACTCAGCTCGGTCTCATCCATCGAATGCGGAAACTGATCGGAGGAACTTCAAATCGCGCTGTATGACACGAAATCTTACCGACGCTCCTTCCAAAGTGTTATCACCTTAATGGTAGTCAAACTATAATAGAAAGCCGCCGGTAAACTGTCTACAAGATTCTGCAGCTCCCCCGGCTTGCAATGCGCGAACAGATACACGTACTGAAAGTACAGCACGGTCAGCGCAATCGACAAGTAAATCATACGATTAACGACGGCGTATGGCACGTCCGGCAAGGCGCCCAAAAATCGAAGACCGAATTTCACAGACGGACTAATCGTGCTTGTGAGTACCATCTGTTCGCGATCTGTCCCGAGAACACGCGAAAGTCGCAGTATGTCCGGTACCCTCGTTAGCGATCAACTGAGAGAGTGCTGACCGATCCTGCAAGTGCATCCCCACATGCGGCGGTCCCCACTTCAGTGATCACCGATCAATCATTATTATGCGTTACGCGGTGTAACAGTAAGTCGAGACACAACTCATTATTTGTATGTTAGTCTCGTAATGACATTGGTGCGCTAAATAATACGTTACGATCGCGCACGGAAAGAAAAAACTTACGTCTCATGAAGTATTTGCGATCTTTTCCTTTTCTTTTCTCGAGAATTCTCCTCTGTTACAATGCTATACCATCGATTAAACGCAAGCGATTTTCGCGTTTTTTGCTTGTACGGCAGACCATTTATCGTACGATGGCTGCATTAGTTATTCCGACAGAACGGAACTAAACTATTCGTGTTGTTACGAGGTTTACAAGAGATAAACAAAGGAGAAACATTGTGTCTCCGCTAGGAGCGAATATCGAGTAATGACGAGTAATTTTCATAAATGCTATGGACAACAGCGTTGTCCTGGATGCACATGTGACGAGAGTCTCAAAAGCAAAAAAATTTTAATCGATCAGGCTCTTCGTGGAATCTTTACTACAGTCGCAGGCAATAAATACGCCGTGGAAAACAGTACGTGTTCGGAGTTTCCAGAAAAGATTTCGCAGAAAATACTATAGACAGTGGTCTGCAGCCACATGTCTTTTCTAAGTAAAAATGTTTTAACTTGAATGTACACGTTAGTAACTAGTGATTATTGTAAAAAAGAGAGTGATCTTCGCGTTTCGTGCACAGATGATTATTTAATGTGCGGTGACTCGGGGGTGAACGGCCTTAATTCCGCATTAATTATTCTAACAGAATGGAACTAAATTACGTGAGTGGTCAGAAGTCCTAAAAAAATTATGTGAAGGATGAACATCGCATTTCCTCTGGATTAGAGGTGAATATCCAGTAATGACAAGTAATTTTCATAAATAATACGAACAGCATATGCTGGGATGCAAATGTGGCGAGAGTCTCAGAAGGAAAAAAATTTTAATCGATTTGATTCGCTGCTGCAGCTTTGTTACAGGTGCAAGTAAACGAAGATGCCGTAAAAGCTGTACATATATGTAGAATTTTCGGAAAGAAGTTTTCATAGTAAATACTTTAAACAGTGATCTATAACTATATATATCTTTCAAATAAGAATATTTTAATATATATAATATCAAAAAATAATCTGAATAGGTTAAATGCAGATTGAAACTAGTTGAAAGTACAAGCAGCGAAAATTCGCTGTTTAGACACTTGGCAATGCTCAAACTTTCAATGAAGGTCTAACGGTAAATTTGTTGGACGTGATGTGAGACTATGAATTCATGTTATTTTCTCTAGGTAAAAGTATTTAAATAGGCAACATATAACAACGAAGCAACAATATGATATTATTGCATCGTATCAAATATAAACTTAGATTCTGCAAGCAGCAAATTCAGTTCACAATCATCATGTAAATTCATTCATAACAGTTCCTAAATTGTCATCCTATATTAATTACGCAATTTAATCTTAATGCACGCAAGCGCGCATTGCCATCCTATAGATATGTATATCAATATATTGCATTCAAGACAGACATATATGTTGCAGACGCTTTCATGATCTAAAACAAAAAACAAATTATTACTTGTAAAAAGAAGTGTACATAAATATATGTAAATATATATGTATAACATGTAATTATATACAAGGTGCCTGTTGCTAAATGTCTTATCTGCCATATACTTATAATTTAGGTCGATATGAACAAAAAGTCGTGCACCTATTTCGCAAACAACCATGTATATTTTTAAGTTAAAGAATTAAATAATTAAAGAAGACAGAGAAAAATAATTATATCCTCCGCCGCTGGCCGCACGTCGCATTTCTTCCGTATTATTACTTTCTTCCACATTCTATAATTAATAACTCAAAAATTTAAGTGGTTCCTTGCAAAATGGTATAGAAGTTTTTTATTCACATTAACTTAGATTACAAGACGGATGAGACATTTAGTGACAGACATTCCGTACAATAAGCGTTGATGATTAGAAAAGGTACAAAGAATCAAATAGTCATCGAGAAAATCCTCGAAAAAAGTCATTGAAAAAAATACATCGAAAAAAAAATCTGCAGACTTACACTCGTGAAGGCTTCTAACGTTAAGTTCGTAATTCCTCCCACTGTGATCGTCTGTTGTTTCTGAGATCTCATAATAATAAATAATATATTCCTACCGTGACTGGACGACATGTTATACCATAAAGAATCATATGCTGCATCACCGAGTGATTTACACTGGAAGTAAGGCGACAAATAAAAATTCAATTAAACGGCAATTTCATTTAATAAAAAAATTACAAAGTGTTTACAACCTATAAGTTAAAACACACAAGTCAAGAAAGAACGTTCATAAACAAAAAAAACAACTTAAAAATAACGTCAATATATTTTAAGAGAGAGAGAGAGAGATATATATATATATATATATATATATATATATATATATATATATCTTAAAACACGCATTTTATAATCGTTTTAGAACGGAAATAATATCAAGTTCTTAACTGTAATTAAAAATAGTCTGTCAAATTAGGATTCGTAAGAAAATGATTTATACTTATTAAATTTTAATATTTACTAACCTTAAGGCATAAGTATTCTCCGACAAAACAAAATATAAAAATTTCCATCGTTATGCCCATGTAACCACATATGGTTTTTAAAAGGCTGGCGTCACTTCCAATGTGAGTCTGTTTCATTAAACGATCGGGAAAGCTGAATAAGCTAAGATATCGATCAACGTGCGTTCGTATGTACACTACGATACTCACTGTTATTAGCACGAGTCCCAAGAAGCAGATAACCAAAGTATTACAAAAAACTTGCAATAAAGCTATGAAGGAGAAAACTTTATCGAGATTCTCGGAAAATAATATTACTTTATTATGCTTCTCGACCAGCATTTTTGTTCTATAAGCAACTGACTCATAAGAAGGCATTTTGTTAGAGATACTTTTCAACTGCAGACAAATGACATCGATTTGCCCGCATACATGAAATACCTAAAATATACTTAAATATCTGCAAAAATTTTAAGTATTATGTTTAAAGAAGACAACGCTTCTTGGCGAATGTTTCGTTTAAAATGAAGAAGTAGAAAGAAAGCGAAATGTCCTCCACACATATAGATAATAGAAATTATTGAATTAAATGATTTCTGATCGGTCACAAGTAAATTCTTACCTACATAAAATTATAGACTCATTAAGCAAAAGCGATTTTTGTAAGTAATATCAAATTGTAAGAAAAGCTACATTATAGTTCTCGCATCTGTATTTTGGGATTATAAGCCGACTCGTCACAGAATTTGGCAAAACATACCAGAGTAAGGATAAATGAGGACAGAAGGTTCACCGTATATACCATCATCATCGAATGTAGAAACAAGATAACAACAAGTAGCTCATAGATCGGCGACTGATTAGCTTCAAAGGGTAACACTACACTCACGGGGAACGGTCGTGAAGTACCATTGCCGGTTTCCACCAGATCAAAAAAAGCATTCAAGTTATTGCCGCCAAAGTATAATCCACCGGCGAACGTGTTGAAACCCAACAAAGCGTTCGTGCAAAAACTCGAGAGGCTAGCTCTCACTCTCATTAAGTGCAAATGCTCATTGACGTTAACGCACTCCCGCCAATCAGTATCCATAGCGGCCAGTATCTCGCGAACCACGCTGCAATGTGTCGCTTTAATTGGATAGAGATACTTCCTGCGGTGGCGTAGTCACCTTTACGCGAAATTATACATCGTCGCATCAATTAACATCTGGACGTTGTGATTATTAAGTCACGTTTGTTTTAACGAAGATCAAGAGGAATGAATAGTACACATTGAGGAACTCCGAGTCGATCTCATTTCTCAAGGGACGTAAAACGAATCGGAGAGACTCAAAACCGCGTTAACTGTCGCGAAATCTTACCGATGATATTTCCAAAGTGTTATCATCTTCATGGTGGTCAAAGTATAATATAAAGTGGCCGGTAAACTGTCTACGAGATACTGCAACTCGCTCAACTTAAAGTGCGTGAATATGTACACATATTGAAAGTATTGCACGATCAGTATACTCCATATATGAATCAGCCGACGAACGGTGGCGAATGGAACTTCCGGCCACACACCAAGGATTTGAAGGCCGAGCTTCAACAACGGATTGATCGTGCTCATGGCCACCATCTGACAACGATGAGATATGCCGAGAGTAAACTAGGAAGCGAAAGTGCACGCACGGTACCCTGGTGTACAATAAACTATGAGAGCATCGTCCAACCCCTCAAGCGCATCCCCACGTGCCTGCGGCCCCTCTTCGGTGACCAACGATCAATTGTTATTATACGTTGCGTAGTATCATAGCAATTAGGGAGACAACTCATTATTCGCTTTTCCAATGCCGCCGACGCTTTGAATAATACCTTCCGACAGAATATTGATCTAAGAAAACGTTACACATACGTTTCTTTCGAGCGAGCATCGGTTATATTTTCTGCTTTTTTTGCGAATTTCTCTCCATGACAAAGTGATGCTACCAATGAAAAGCGAGTGATACTCGTATTTTTGCATAAAGAACATTTAACGTACAATGACTCGGTTGAACAATCGTAATATAGTATTAGTTATTCTAACGAAACGGAACTAAGTTACATGGATGGCTATGAATCATGAAGGAAATAAACGGGGCAGGAATAATGGGTCTCCCCCTGTCCAAAGAGGAATAGCAAATAATGCGAGTAATTTATAAAAATGTTACGGAGAACAGTGTTCTCCGGGATGAACATGAGGTAAATTTCTTAAAAGTGAAGAAATTGTAATCAACTTGAATCGTCGTAAAAATTTGCTAACATGTACACGTAAACGAAAATGATAATGCTCCAACTGATAAATCATATAGGGAATGGTTTCGACGTTTCAAGAATGATGATTTCAGCGTTGAAGACAAGCCTCGCTCATGCTGTGTATCTGGTGAGACCAAAAGGGTGTTATATACTATGAGCTGCTACAACCTGGCGAATCCATTACAGGCCATCGGTATAGGATAAAATTGATTCGTTTGAGTCGTGCATTACGAGAAAAACGGCCGGTATATGAGCAAAGACATGACAAAGTTATTCTTCTGCATGCTAACGCTCGGCCTCATATTGCAAAAGTCGTAAAAAATTATTTGGAAACGCTCAAGTGGGATATTTTACCGCACCCGCCGTATTCGCCGGACATTGCTCCTTCTGATTACTGGTTGTTCTAACGGATGCAGCACGATTTGGGAGGTCACCGGTTTACTTCTTTCGGAGAAATCGAAAATTGGCTCTTAACTTGGATCGTCTCAAAAGACGAGACATTTTTTCGAGATCGAATTCGAAAATTGTCTGAGAGGTGGAAAAAAGTAGTAGCCACTGATGGATAATACTTTGATTAATCTGTTCATTCATTTTGTTCTGAAATAAATGCATTTTTGACCATATAAAAACGGACCGAACTAATTTGTACTCCCAATAGTATCATTAAATGCTTAATACTACGCTGAAAATAAAAAATATATATATATATATATATATACATATGTTCAGGGTGTCCAAAAACAATAATGCCAACTCTTGTATTTTATGATTTTCGCAATAATTATTGAATAATTATTAAATAATTATTTGATTTTAACGTGCTCGACTACTTTGTTTAAGGCTATGTTAAAACTTCAGTCGAGCATAGACGTGACGGTGCCAAAGATGAGGTACACTAAGCAATTTCAGCGGCCTTTAACACAATTATGCCGAACATGGTGCACCATGGGACACAACAGATAACTTAAAGAGCCGAACTCTTACAAATACGAGGAAGTCACTTCGAATAGTTACATTAAATAATGTAAAGAAACTATTAAACCATTATTACAAATATCATAAAACGATACAAGACTCTTTTATTCATCTCAATCCGTTCTATGCTTTCACGAGCATTTTCATTACTGTTCTGGGACACATTGTATATTATTCTTGCATCAGAATTATAGTACATCTAGAATAGAACATGCAAATAAAAAAATCTGCCATTTGTTTTAAGATAACTGTGCCCTAAAATATGTATATTGTATATGTTTCCTTATATGTTATGTAATCTTTTTTTAAATAATTGAGCTATTATGTTCAATAAAAAACTATAATAGATGTATATAACAAAGATAATATATATATATATAATACATATAATACATATAATACACATAATATAGAAATAATTAGTTTAACATTTAATTTGAATGGAAATATCACTTACAAATGATTTTAAATATTATAATTGGATAGAGATACTTCCTGCGGTGGCGTAGTCACCTTTACGCGAAATTATACATCGTCGCATCAATTAATATCTGGACGGTGTGATAATTAAGTCATGTTTGTTTTAACGAAGATCAAGAGGATTGAATAGTACACATTGAAGAACTCCGAGTCGATCTCATTTCTCAAGGGACGTAAAATGAATCGGAGAGAAACAAAATCGCGTTAACTGTCGCAGAATCTTACCGATGATATTTCCAAAGTGTTATCATCCTCAGGATGGTCAAAGAATAATATAAAGTGACCGCTAAACCGTCTACGAGATACTGCATCTCGCTCATCTTAAAGTGCGTGGCTATGTACCCATATTGAAAGTATTGCACGATCAATATACTCTACATATGAATCAGCCGACGAACGGTGGCGAATGGAACGTCCAGCCACATGCCGACGATTTGAAGGCCGACCTTCAGGAACGGATGGATGGTGCTCATGGCCACCATCTGACAACGATGAGATATCCCGAGAGTAAACTAGGAAGCGAAAGTGCACGCACGGTACTCTCGTGTACGATAAACTATGAGAGCATCGTCCAAGCCCTCAAGTGCATCCCCACGTGCCTGCGGCCCCTCTTCGGTGACCAGCGATCAATTGTTATTATACGTTGCGTAGTATCATAGCAAGTAGGGAGACAACTCATTATTCGCTTTTCCAATTCCGCCGACGCTTTGAATAATACCTTCCGACAGAGTATTGATCTAAAGAAACGTTACACATACGTTTCTTCGAGCGAGCATCGGTTATATTTTCTGCTTTTTTTGCGAATTTCTCTCCATGACAACGTGATGCTATTAATGAAAGGCGAGTGATACCCGTATTTTTGCGTGCATAAAGAACATTTAACGTACAATGACTCGGTTGAACGATCGTAATATAGTATTAGTTATTCTAACGGAACGGAACTAAGTTACATGTCCATGAATCATGAAGGAAATAAACGGGGCAGGAATAATGGGTCTCCCCCTATCCAAAGAGGAATAGCAAATAATGCGAGTAATTTGTATAAATGTTACGAAGAACAGTGTTCTCCGGGATGAATATGAGGTAAATTTCTTAAAAGTAAAGAAATTGTAATCAACTTGAATCGTCGTGGAAATTTGCTAACATGTACACGTAAACGAAAATGACATGAAAACTATACATGAATTTTCAGGGAAAATATTTTATAGTAAATAGATTAGACAATAGCCTGAAATTATTTGCCTTTTGCCAACAGGTATGTTATAATCTTCGCAACATTGACGGTTAAATTAACCGCACAGACCGCAAAACATGGGTGAGTTAGTATCCATAATTAATATTTACGTTCTAGTAACCATATAAAGACATTAATACCAATGTTAAAAGTGCAGAGATCTTTTTTGCAAACGCAAACAGTGGAAAGGCATTGTAGTAAATTAGGACGAGCTGATTAAACTTGCGAGTGAAGGCAAATACGTTGTACACGATGTGAGACTACATTATTGTTTTTTGCATAACAACATTTCAGTATACAGTTTAGTAACAATGCAACAAAAAAGTATTTATTATGTCGTATCAGATATAACAATAGATTGTATAATCGGCAATTCTACGATTACACCTACAATCTAATAAAGTCTAGGGTTATATCACTGTAATTTCATTGATAACATTAATGATAACAGTTTCTAAGTTATATCCCATATTAATTGAGCCATTTAGGGTTCACACTAGCTTCGTAGAATTTATAATGATATTAAAACATTGCATACAAAACAGACACATATGACGCCGATGCTTTGACGATCTAAAATAACACGAAACTAATTATAGTTCTTAAAGAGGTACATATATATTATATGCAAATGACATATTTTGTAATAAGCGCAGAAATTATTTAATAATAAGGCAAGATTGTAGATGAAAGACAATCTGCAGGCTTACACTCGTGAAGGTTTCTAACGATAAATTCATCATTCCTCCCGCTGTGATAGAAAGTTCTTTCTGAGATCTCATGGTTACGAATAATATATTTTTAGCATGATTACATGACATATTATACCACAATGAATTGTAAGCTGCATCGGCGACTGATATACTCTAGGATTAATGGAACAAATAGAAATTGGGTTAAATAACAACTTCCCTTATTGGAAAAATTTGAAACATGATCTATAAGCACACGAATATCATAAAATATTTATAATACAATGCAAAGTGTGTATATATATATTTCACAGATTTTCTCTTGCCAAAGTATTATAATATATCTAAAACATATAGAATATACACAAAAAATAAATAAATATAGCTTTAAACAGTGCTCGGAATTAGATTCACTTTTGATGGGATTTTCTGGTTACATACTTCTCTTTGTCGCTTTAATAGGCCGATTCTCTAACTTTAACGAAAGAATCATTGTCATTACGGCGTCGTTGCGCAGGTATAATATAATAAGTATATATATACACATGACGGAAAAGCTGCGCAACGATATCGTAACGATAACGACACTGTCGTTAAAAGTTGGAGATGCAAAGAAAAAAAGTTGGTATAGCTCTTGAAAGTCGCCTCGAAAGTGAAACTAATTCCGAGCAATACTAAAATATAAACGTTATGTGTGCATGCTTTTTGTCAATCAAAAATTGTTTCAAATAATTCAGCTATTATGTTTAATAATTAATAATGAGATGGTTATAGATAATAAAGATAGAGCAGATAATAGAGAGAATAAATTTAATAACTAATTCGCGTTTAAAAATTACTTACAAATTATTTTCAAACATTCACTGACCTTAAGACTAAGGTATTCTCCCACAAAACAAATGATAAAAATTTCTATTAGTATAGCGCCATAACCAAATATGGTTTTTACCAAGCCGACACCAGATTGATCAACCGACTGTTACATTAAACGACCAAGGCACCGAATGTATTACGGTATCGATCATCGCACATTCGTGTATACACTACGATACTCACTGTTATTAGCACGAGTCCCAAGAAGCAAATAAGCACAGTGTCACAAAAAAGTTGCAATAAAGCCATGAAGGAAAAAGCTTTATCGAGGTTCCCGGAAAATAAGATTACTTTATTATGCGTCTCGACCAGAATTTTTGTTCTATAAGCAACTGATTCATAATGAGGCATTTCTTTAGAGATACTTTCCAACTGCAGACATATGACATCGATTTGACCGCTTACATGAATTACCTAGAAAAAACTTAAATATCTGCAAATATATCAAGTACTACGTTTAAAGAAGAGAAAGCTTTTCGGCGAATATTTCGTCTAAAAAGAAGAAATAGAAAGTAGAACAAAATATCCTCCAAATATATATGATAATAAATTATTCAATTATAAAATATTTGCGATCGGTCACGAGTAAATTCTTACCTAGATGAAATTATAGATTCATTGAGCAAAAGCTATTTTTGTAAGTAATAACAATTCATAAGTAAAGCTACATCAATGTTCTCGCGTCCGTATTTTGAGATTATAAGCCGACTCGTCACAGAATTTGGCAAAACGTACCAGAGTGAGCAAAAACGTGGACAGAAAGTTCACTACACATATGATCATCATCGAATGTAGAAACAAGACAACGACAAGTAGCTCATAGATCGGCGACTGATTAGCTTCAAAAGGTAACTCTACACTCACGGGGAGCGGTCGTGAAGTACCATTGCCGTTTTCCAGATCAAAGAGAGCATTCAAGTTATTGCCGCCGAAGTATAATCCACCGGCGATAACGTTGTAAACAAACAAAACTTTCGTGCAAAAACTCGAGACGCTAGCTCTCGCCTTCATTAAGTGCAAATGCTCATCGACGTTAACGCACTCCCGCCAATCAGTATCCATAGCGGCCAGTATCTCGCGAACCACGCTGCAATGTGTCGCTTTAATCGGATAGAGATATTTCCTGCGATGGCGTCGTCATCTTTACGCGAAATTATACAGCGCCGAATCAATTAACATCTGGACGTTGTCATTATTAAGTCACGTTTGCTTTAACGCAAATCAAGAGGAATGAATGGTAAACATTGAGGAACTCCGTGTCGATCTCGTTCCGTGGGGGACGTAAACGAATCGGAGAGATTCAAAATCGCGTTATCTGTCGCGGTATCTTACCGATGATTCTTCCACAGTGTCATCATCTTCATGATGGTCAAGGTATAATATACAGTGGCCAGGAAACCGTCTACGGTGAGATACTCCAGCTCGCTTAGCTTAAAGTGCTTGAACATGAACATATACTGAAAGTATTGCACGATCAATGTACTCCACACAAGAATGAGCCGACGGACGGTGGCGTATGGCACGTCTGGCCATATGCCGAGAATTCGAAGACCGAGCTTCAGCAACGGATTGATCGTGCTCATAGCCACCATCTGTCAATGATAATATGTCCCGAGAGTAAACTAGAAAGCGAAAGCCGGTACACGCACGGTACTCTCGTGTACGATAAATTGTGAGAATACCCGTCGAACATCGAAGTGCACCTCAACATATGTACTGCCTCCCCACCCCGTAACGATGGATCAATCGTTATTATGACATTTGCAATATACCAATGCAGTATGTCGAAATATAGCTCATTATATGCACGCACGCGTGAATAATGCGTTTTGATCGCGCGGCAGAAGAAAAGTTACATATACGACTGTATAGGCTTACGCTCGTGAATGCTTCTAACGATAAATTTGTCATTCCTCCCGCAGTAATAGAGATTTGTTTCTGAGATCTCATGATAAAAAATAATATATTTTTACTGCAACTGGGTGACATATTATACCATGAAGTTTCGTATCCTGCATCGCCGAGTGATCGACTCTGGGAGCAAAACAAAAGCAGACGAATATAAAAAAACGTTTAACACTAAACCTACTAGTACCGGTCAAATTGATCGTTTTCAAACTTTTATAAAATGTACACACTTTAAACGTTATAATACCGTTATCGAACTATATAACAATTCTTAGAATATGCATATAATATTTTTTTCACTCTGTACTTCTAGTTATTTTTTCTCTTTTCCAAGAAAAATTTATCATGTGTCCTACC